TCTTGTTTGTGGAAACATTGATGTCACGACCAGGCGCGGTGCCGAATTTCTACGAACTAATATTTGAAAAAATCTATTAGGAGCAGGTTGACATGACAAATCTTGTGCAGATGTTCTTGGAGATGACTGGAGATTACTTTCATTCATGTATATGAGTAAACAGGCGCGCTTCAACAGCGTATTTACGGATTCCGGCGGGCGTACGACGCTAAAATTAGCCTGCTAGGGTAATGCTACACAGATGACAACGACGCACGAGAAGAGCCAACGGCGATGCTATACGCGACGGGCCTTAGAAGGCGATACTAAGTCACGTGCCGCGTAAAGCTGCCGTTGATAATATGTTTTCTCCGTGTGCAGGTGATTTTTGAGCCTCACCCAAAACCTGTCCGCTGTTCAGTAGCTTATCCACTCCGTGTTTTGCGTAAACATTTTGGTGAAATTTCCGCTTTAGAGAGTGACATTTGCTTGTTGATAACGTTCGCAATGGGTAGCAGGGCGGCGAGGGCCGGCGGAATGAGTCCTCCGATTGCTCTGCTTCATATGACTGGTTAGTGATCGATTTAGAAAGTAAGCAACCACTGGTGGAAACGCTGCTGGTGGGCTCATTCCACCCCTCTTAATAGTCTGCCTGCAGCGGCGAAAGGACGGTGTCACGACCGGGAATGAGTTTGGGGCAGTGCCAAATCCGTTCTCCTACCAGTTGTTGGAAGCGAGCAAGTGACAAGGCTGTATCATATCGTTCGTATCACTCATTTTCTACCAACTTTGTGGCATACCTGCTTCAACAACCTGGCCGAGAATGGGTTTTGCCCCGTGACACATTCATGCTGCTTGACACGCCCCTTCATCCGCGGAGAGCTAGTGTAAAGACCCGACCCGACTGATCGCGAAGCTACTGCTTCACTGTGGAGTACACTGCTCAGATTACTCTGTGCTGTAGGCACATATAGGCGAGAATGGCAAGTGAAAAAGAGCGTCGTTACACGCAGATGGAGACAAAGAAATCCGCGAGGTCGGAACAGAACAGCGAGTACTCCCATCTTTAGTTGATTTAGCCATACTGCAGCCGCTTTCCACAGCCGTCAGGTTTCTATGCTTGAATAGAATTGCTAAGGCTGAAGGCTCGGAGCTCCCAAATTATATATGACCACAAACAAGACCCATTCACTTCCAATGTTTTTCTCTGCTAGAGGCTCGACGGTGCAAATTTTTAAAGGCAGTTGGCACGATGGTTTCCTACTTCGCCCAAAATGCTAGTAGGGAGCTATATAGTGGGGAAATGGCGAAAGAACGGAGTGAAACGGTCAAAATCCGGCGAAGAAAAAGCCTCCGTTCTCAGTGACTTGTAAATCGATTTCGGACGAGTTTCCCGTACGCATCCTTTATTTATTTTTTTTTTTTCTTATAATTTTTGCCAATCACCGCTACCGAAGATACGGCATGCATATTTGTACCCATATATGCATGCAGCATCACCGCCGCTTCATACCAATCCCTTTGCTTCATAATTTGCTCAGCAAATGAATGAATACGAGCGTCAGAAACGGTCGTCCGTTTGTGGGCGGGCGGGCAAGGAAGGCGTTTGGGACGTAAAGTTGTTGCTCAAGTAGGGCGTTATAGAGGTACCCTCCTTGGAAAAGGCTTCACGCAGCGCCTGTCCGAGGTCACGGAATTCTGTTAAGCCAGTTGTACAAATTCTACACCTGTATAGCGATTTATCGTGCCAACTGCCTTTAAGGTTGGTCCCAGCCCGTTCTCACCAAATTGCTAGTAACGGGTAAGCGATGCAACTGTGCTGAGGCTGCGCCCACCGGCCAAAGCGAACGTCTCCCTCTCCTGGACACGCCCAGCGTCTGCACTGGTTTCTTTTTTTTTCTGGATGGAAGGCAAACGCTTCTAGCATCCTTAGCATTTTCAAAGTCTTCCTCAAAACGTAGGGGATTTACCCACCCGAGGCTCATCGTTCGTGCTTTTTTATTTACCATCCAGGTTTCAGGTTGCAATTCCTTGCGGTGCCACTCCACAAGAAGTGCAACAGCCGCCACCACCGCCACCACTGCAGTCTCCTGCACGATATGGCATCGTGCAACGATCAGTCGTTCACGCTCCTGTAGAGAGTATGGTGAAGATGCGCGACAACGGTGAAGATGAGGAGTTCCGCATCCCTCTTGAAGACAATAACAAACCGATTCTCTTCTACAAGTACGTGACATTTTTGGCAATTAGAAACGAAGAAAAACAAAATATTGGAAAAAGAATACACTCCAAAGCACAGATGATCCGTTTCGCCCGTTATCGCAGACGAATCATCGTTGTCTAGCCAACCCCGGGCTCGTCAGTGCGACAGGGTTGACGACATGAGGACATGGACTACATAGGGGAAGGAGTTGAGAAATAGGATAAAACGAGAGAAAATGTGAAAAAGGTTCATGCAAAATTCATGCAATCAAGATGAGGAAGAATTGTACAGAAAACCCATATTTGGCAGCGAGTACTCCGTCTTTGAACTTACCCTCTGACGCCCAGAGAAAAGTGGCGTATATCTTTTAATGGATATCAGATCGAGTAGATAAACAACTAGAGAGCTCAAGCCACCAGAAGACCACTGAGCGCAAACCTGGCGATTGTACATTCGTTGATAGTGGCGTTCAATTACAAACCTTCAATCATTAAAGGCAGTTGGCACGATAATTTCATGTACACTTTGAAAAAGAGCAAAGGTGCCCAGTAATGCAAAAATAGTGAAAAAACGGGGCGAAATGGTGGGGAAACCACGAAATGGGGGCTTTATTTCTTCGCTGCACTGCGGCAGTGGACGAGCGAAAGGGCGGGCGCTGCTTTGGACGAGTCTACCGATTGAACCGTTTACTGCTGGCAAAAAGCCAGCAGTACGTTCTACGTCGCTCTACGTTATAGGCACGGGCCATATTTTACATCGCAAATGAAGCGGAAGCAGCATCAGGTACGGTCGTCCATTTGTGGGCGGGCGGGCGCGGTGGGCGTCCGGGTCGGTATGTTGCTGCTCGATAGGGCGCTATAAGGGTACCCTCCTTGGAAAAGGCGCTACGCAGCGCCTGTTCAGGGTCACGGAATTCTGTCATGCCAGTCGTATTAATCCTACTCGTCTTAGGGGTTTATTGTGCCAACTGCCTTTAAGCGACTCTGCAGTGATGAAAAAAGCGAAAAAAGTTGGGAAGAACACCCTTATTCAGGACCTGGCAGCCTCTCTGAACGAGCAATCCGGACCTATTAGCTTTATGCCAGCAAAGCGATATCCTGCTCCCTCTAGCTCTTTGATCATTTATTCGCGTTATCCAATGCTAATACCATCTAACTGCGAAAAAAGAAAACACCTGTGTGATAAAACTTAAACGCCACCTATAGAGTTGAGTTTGCGGTGGGCGAAAAACCAGGGAGGCGTCAGAACTACCACGTATGAGGGCCGCAGCCTTCGTTGCTTACTGTAAAGCCGCGAAAGTGGGATAATCATAGAGACAAGAGGTAGACGCCCACGATTGCTTGAGCACAGGGACTGTCTTTGAATGAACCCCACATAAAATTTGTCAGACCTTTACTACTACTACAAATGACGTTTACAGCCAGCGGAGCTTTCGTTGCGGAAAAGGAATGGCTGTTTGCCTCTGAGAGAACAAGGGGAATTTGTCCGGGATAGTTCTCTTAATTATGCTCATCCATCATATCTCTCATCTTCATATGAATAATAAATAAAATATCTTGTCCGCTGTTGATGCTGGCGCGTGTCAAGGAGGCTAGGTTTGGCACGGTGCCAATCCATTTTTCATCAGTTGTAATCACTCAGCTTCAGGAGTGAAACGCTTTTCTGAGGTGTATTCGGACAGAAATTTGTTCTGAGAAGCGCTTTGACCTCCAGAACACATTTGTCACCTCCTACAATGAAAGTGCCTCTTTTTCACATCACGATGGTCATAGATTTTGGTGCGCCTATACCCGCACGAACCAGGCATTGTCGCGCCAAGCTAATGTGTTTTCGTGTTCAAGGGGTCAGAATACTTATGGGTACAAGTTCTCCATAAATTTGATGTTTGGAGGCGATTTTGAGCCGAGCGCATGCGACATTAGTGTTTAGATATACTCCTCTTCCCCGAGACGGGGTAGGCGTGGCATTCGAACATGGCACAGAACTGGTTACTCGTGGGATATTTCAATTTGAGACAACCGCCATCTTGTTCTTTGTTGGACAGAGACGTGACCACATTTGGGTCAAAATGAAAATATCTCTCCAAAAGCATAGCCACCACGACGTTAGTTGAAGTACGCAGCCACGCCTACCTCATCTCAGGGATTTCGAGTGTACTTCAATTACATCGTAAGATAGAAAGTCATAATTGCCCAC